GCCCACGCCTGACAAAGACAGGTGGGAAGGGGAAAATAACAACAACACTCTAGTACCTAGGTTGATGCACTGTGTCTATGGTTCCCGTCAAAAGAGCTTAGGGCTTTTTCACTGCTTATGGTTCTGTTTAGACTCTCTGTGAGTCTGCAAACCTATATGGTGTTGCTCATAATTAGTCACAACAGTGAATACAGTAAATGAGGACACTAGTAAGGTACCAAAAGTCATCAGGCAGTATGCAGAACATTGAACATACGAGTAGAAAGATTCAGTACACAAGTTAAGATAATCAGTCAGAATATTTAGCCCCACAGGCTTTATGCTTTGGTGTGTAGCCTTTTCGTACATCATCGAGTTATACTTGCTGAAATGAACTTAAATGGCCCAAGAGGTCAAGTACAGGAAATATATGGGACCTGAGGTACTAACTTAAACTCGACTGGGCTTATTTTAGGCAAATATTTTAGTTTATTTTTACTTGTCAGCACTGATTAAGTTGTTTTTTGTGTGTTGCAGTGATGCAATGGAGACAGATGACAAGGCTGGTAGCTCCCCCGCTGGGAAGCCAGCAGAAACAGTAAGCCCTTAAGATTGTTTTGTGTTGCAGCACTTTTGTGATACCAGGTGCCAGTTGTCATTTTTCTGTCAAAATAGAGCAACTTTGATTTATTTGACAGATCATCATATTGCTTTCCTGTGTTTTTGTAGAAAGATGAGCCCAAAGACCAGAATGCCAAGATGATCAAAATCCTTAGCGGGGAGATGGCCATTGAGCTGCACCTGCAGTTCCTAATCCGAAATAACAACACAGATCTAATGATCCTCAAAAACACAAAGGTAATGTAGGCTAGCAACAAGATGAAATGGTTAGAGAATATAATTGATTATAAACTATAAATAAACATAACAAACTATTGTTTGCTTGATCTGATGAACTGCAGATTGTGTCACTGAATGTGTTGTTACAGCTTCCATGTGAGCTTTTTTTTTTTTTTCTTTTCTTCATCATTCCAGGATGCAGTCCGAAATTCAGTTTGCCACACAGCCACAGTAATAGCTAACTCTTTCATGCACACGGGAACCACAAGTGACCAGTTCCTGAGGTAACTGTGTCAGAACACAACAATCTTATTCCATAGCTTGAATAGAGAGACATAAAACATACTTACTCCAAGTGACATTTAGACTAAAACTTTTGCTTGTACTTAACAGAGAAAACTTGGAATGGCTTGCAAGAGCCACCAACTGGGCAAAGTTCACAGCTACAGCAAGTCTGGGTGTCATCCACAAGGTAAATTTATGTCACAATGATGAGAATATATTGCGAATCAAAAAACATAATTAATTTTATTCCAGATTCTGTATTTAATTTTGAACATAACATGTTGTGTTTTTCAGGGCCATGAGAAAGAGGCGCTCCAGTTAATGGCCACCTACTTGCCCAAAGACACCTCCCCTGGCTCAGCCTACCAGGAGGGAGGAGGCCTGTACGCTTTGGGACTCATTCATGCCAACCATGGTGGGGACATTATTGACTACCTGCTCAGTCAGCTCAAGAACGCCAGCAATGATGTGAGTATTTTGATGTTTACTTTGAATGCTGGTTTATTGTCAAATATATACTTGAATGTGAGTCACAAAGTGATTAGCTGAGACCTGCAGCTAGTTGAAATCACTCTGTCAGCTGGTTGGTTTTATGTTTTGTGTTCCATCTCTCATGGTCTGCTTTCTTCTTTTGCACAGATTGTTCGCCATGGTGGTGCCCTTGGCCTTGGATTGGCTGCATTGGGCACAGCCAGACAGGATGTTTACGACCTCCTTAAGTCCAACCTGTACCAGGATGATGCTGTCACCGGTATGTAGGCAGTCGACAGTTCTGGTCTTCACCATTGTGCTTACTAAAAATAACCTTTTAACAAAAATCTATTATAAGCATTTTTACTTCCTGCTCGTCTCGACCAGATTGTTAATAACTGAAATGAATGATGTGTGGTCAAACAGATAAAAACAAGAACTAACAAACTCCTTTATCCTGTATACTACGGCTAGTGATTTTGCCACATGTCTATAATGTGCATAGCTGTTTAATCTAGTGTAGTAATGTACACTAAGAAATATCTGTTGATTGAGCAATTCTGACAATATCATGTAACCTCCCAGGTGAAGCTGCAGGCCTGGCTCTGGGTCTGGTCATGCTGGGCTCCAAGTCAGCCCAGGCCATTGAGGACATGGTAGGCTATGCTCAGGAGACACAGCACGAGAAGATCTTACGTGGCCTGGCAGTGGGAATTGCCCTCGTCATGTATGGACGTATGGAGGAGGCTGATGCCCTCATTGAAAGCCTTTGCAGGGACAAGGTAAGGCTGGAATGCACTCAGAGCAAATCATGTACACCATAAGGTCAGAGTTGCTTTATTTTCCAACAACAATGAAGATTTTCTTTATTTTTGTGGCACAGTTTATGCCTATAGTAGCACGATACATGTGGAATGGCTGGATTAATTCAAAAAGAAAATGTAGGTGGGAGGGTATTACAAAAAAAAAAAACTCAGTGTCTTATAAGGTCATTGCACTTCATAACCTTGCAGTGACAAGTTCTAATGTTTGATGCACTGAGTCCTGCACGTACTCATACAACCCCAGGTTTTGTTTGTGTATTTCATGTCATATGGGAGGCTCTTCCTCTGTACTGTGTGCCAGAAGCCCTTCTATAAGAGCTGGATATGGGAAATGACTCAAATTATGTTTATTTTAGTTGTACATTACAAAGTCACACACAAAGACTCAAAGCTCTGCTTCCTTTCACTGTCTATGATAGGACCCCATCCTGCGGCGCTCTGGTATGTACACTGTGGGAATGGCCTATTGCGGCTCCGGGAACAACAAGGCCATTCGACGCCTGCTACATGTCGCTGTGAGTCTTTCTTCACAACACAGTATTTCACTGAGTGAAAGACAGGTTTATCATGCTGGTAGTGAAACAGATGCCAAGCGCAATGACCAGGCCTGTGTAACTGTAGCTGGCATCATAATTCATATTACTTTATGTTTATTAAATACAATTGATACTATCTTCTGTTGGAAGGGAAAGATTTGATTATCCTTAAATGATTAAGGATTAATTTAAGGATTCATGTATGTGTCATTCAGTGTGCTTTCAGTGGCTATATTTGCAAACACAACATATGGTACTTGAGAGGTGTGAACAGTTCAGCCTGTTGTCCTGTAGGTGGTGCCTTTATACAAGCTAAAGCTATTAGATAGTGGCACATGTGCCTCATACTGTGAGCTAAAAGGGAGCTGTATCATGAAGGCTACTTGCAGGAATTGATGACTGTTAGTATCTACTTTGGTTGTTTGACTGCTTTGCTTATCTCAATTAAGGTGAGTGATGTGAATGATGACGTCAGAAGGGCTGCTGTCGAGTCCATCGGCTTCATCCTGTTCAGGTAAGATTCAGACTGAATGACTTGAACTATGAACACTGCTTAGTTTCTTTACATCCACCAGAGGCCTCTCTTTTTGAAACCTCAAGGTCTTGGCCAAAATTGCAGTTCTTATTCCTATACTAACACACACCACTTTGTTGAGCGAATGCTGATGCATTTGTGTAGTTTGGCTCACTTTGTGAAAAAAAAAACAGTTTTGTGAAAAATTCGCTTCATGTTGGTAAAGCATGGAAACGACTAGCAATAGAGGAACCTTTTTATTAAAGATTTACTTCTGAAATAGACTCCATTGTACAATATTCAGTGTAATCTCCTAGGTTGTCTAATGAGTTTATCACAAATATACCACTGTAATTTTTTTTTTTTTTTTACAGTTTCTGCTTTCCATAAAAAACTTAAACAAACTCATTTAACCTTATTTGATTAGAACTGGTAAAAACACTGGCTACACTCAAGACTGGACATAAGCACACTGTGGACACAGCACTGCTTATTCAGGAACCTTTGTAATCCTGTTTTTATTTTTAAATGAAGCATTTATTTGTTCTTTATTATGATTTCTGTGGGCCAGGATCAAACACATTTTTAGTTTTGTTACACTGTTGTCTAGAATTTGTAATAACTTCCTGGTCTTTATGGAAGGTATTCCTCTGTCAGCGGAGGCTGGACGTTCTTGTCATTGTCACTCACACATTTTCTTCCCTGACTATTTATAGGGATTTAGCCATCAGAGACTAGAGTAGTGTTAAACAGAGAGCCTAGCCAGTGCACAAATATCTTGGTGTACATTTTTAAGCCCAAAAAAGGCTATGTGATATTCTGTGATCAATTGGCCGCTAGATAAACCTTGTGTAAATCTTCGCAGTGTTTAGAAAGACTTCTGAACCAGAACAATTCAGTTGGCCTCCTCTTCTCCAGCTTCCCACCCTAATGGCTCAAGGATAACTCCCTCCACTCTTCAAACATGCTCACTTGCACAGAAGCAGGACACCTCCATATGTAAATGTCTTACGTTTCTTCTTTTCAGTCTAAATCAACACAGTTCCTGTTTGTTAACAATGAGACAGGTGTGCTCTATGTAAAAATAGAACAGTGACACTCTCCAAACTCACATACCAAATGCAAGGAGCCCTATCTAAAGTTCGTATTTCTTGCAGCATTAATCACACACTTAGTTCATACTTTGTTTACTAGGTTGAATTTGGGCCATTTAATTATTATGTATTTGGAAGTGCTCTTGCTTAAAAAAAAAAAATACTACAATCTGTTATTGATAAGGGTAAAGGGACTGGAAAAATTGCTGCTGAATACACATTCATACACTTTTCCTACTTGCCCATTTAAATCTACAATCCCAGGGATATGTTATAGTAGTCTTTCATTAAATAATATCTGCTGGCGTTTATAGAAAAAAATATATTCAGCTGTATTGAGTCATTTTTAAGTAACAGTATTTGCCTTCTAAGGCAGTATGGTTATCTCTCATTGCGCTTTGATCAATGTGGTTCACGAGTGAGGCATTTGTACTTAAATTGAAATAGTATAAGACTGTAGACATTAACAGTGAAAGAACACATACTCAAAATTGGTACAGTTTTCTTTCAGTTCATCGACACAGAAAATACTTTATTGAACACATTTAGGTTTCCATTTATTCTGGATTTTGTTCATTCTTATATACAGTCTTTAACATGGAAATCTTTTAGCATGTTAAAACATCAGGCTGCAATACTCATACAAAAGCGCTTCCCATAGGTCCAGCAAATAAAATAAGTAAGTAATAAAATAAATCATATCAAGAGAACAATGCATTGTGCAATGCATGTGTCTGTTGCAAAAGAGATTTGAAACGTATAGTTGTGGCTGTCTGAAAATATAAGCATGTAGTCTGCAATGGTTTACCGCATATTTATTTAGTTAGCCCAAGTTGAAAGGATCAGCAAAGGAATATATTGTATACTGTCATAGGGTTTACGGCTTGTCATAATGTCTTCATTCCTCACATTTTTGTCTGGTGGCCTGAACTTTGTTGAATCTAGACCTTTCATAGACCTTTCACATCCTCAAACTCTGTTTGTGTGCGCTATGAACGGTCTATGAACGCTGTCTTTGAAAATTCACAGTGTTGAAGTAGCCTGTTTTTAAAAACCCACCGAGTGATATTTTCCCCATATATATTCATAGATATAATGGAGCAATTTTAATTATGGATGAAAAGTAACATTTTGTGTGTTTTTCCAGAATGACATACTTGAAAATATTGCCTTTTCCTGCTTTTGTTATTAAAAAAAACATTGCTGATATAAACAAACAGCAGCAACATCAGACACCAACGGGTTAGATTTTGTTGTAAGTCCTGACCTTATATCAAAGTGAGTGCAACAGCAGCTTCCAATCATGCATTTTGAATTATGATGATAGAGCTAGCATTTTGTCTTTAAAGAGATGTAAAGTTTGCACCGTAGATCTGATCCACTTCAAGTGCTCCCTTTTTAATTGGATAATTTTTCCAAATAGCTCTATACACAGCTAACGTGTTCCTCCTGCTTACCATCTTCATTTTCAGTCAGAAGGATTGTGTCTAACACAACACCAGTGGATGACTGTGCAGGTGTTTGCCGGCACCTTAGTGGACTTTGGTAGCTCACTGCTCCAATGCCATTCTTCATTCCCCGTTTCATGAACAGTTTAGAGTTTTCTGCCATAGAAGACCTGAATGAAATTCGTGTAAAGGTCCGATCTGCATTTGAGGCCCTTGGGTGCCTTCCTGGCCTATGACTTGCACAGCTTTTGTAATTACAGGTAATATAACGTGCGAATGCCTGTCTGAAGGTTTTGTTGAATAAGGTGTAGACAAGTGGGTTGATACCTGATGACACATAACCAACCCAAACAAAGATCTCCATGAGGCGAGCGATTACATTAACATCACAGCTGGTGCACAGCACTGAGGTAATATTAGTGATGAAGAAAGGGCACCACATTACCACGAACAAAAGGAAGACTATGCCTAGCACCTTTGAGGCACGCTGCTCATTGCTCAGAGTCTGCATTGACTTCTTGCCCATTGTTGACATTCTGCGAAAGGACATTTCATCTCCTGTAGGAGAGTTCGTTGTTACCGTGTTTGATTTTTCTTGCGTCCTGGGAAGTCTGCTGTCTAGCATTTTCAGTTGCTCTGCTTGAGGTGAGGTCACACCATGTTCCCTTTGAAAAACTGTGGAGACTGTCGGGTAGCTAAAGCGCTGGCTCACCTTTGACTTGAGCAAATAAACCTTTTTGCGTAACACTTGGACAGTAAGCAGGTAGATGACCATCATGATGGTCAAAGGGATGAAAAATGCTGCCAAGGAGCCAAACATGATAAACTCCCGGAAGGTGTCTGTTTTCAGCAGGCATGTGTGGTTACTGTTGAAGGTGACATTTTTGGTTAGATGGTAGTCCTTAAGCCCCTTAATTGGAATCGGGATTGCGATACCTGTAATATGACAACAACAGTTAGTATTGCAACAATTGGCACTTGTTATAACAATGATGAACTGCTAATGAGCTACGAACAGTTGAATTATTTTACTTTTGATATTCTCAACACCAGCTACATTTATGTTTGTTTTTCATCTGAGGGAAAAATGTTCCGGTGATTCATTTTTCATTTCATAAATATGGTAGTAGCAGTAATTGAAAAAAAGATTGATGTTTTAATAAAAGGTTAATGTAACGAATACCAAGGCAAGTTCTGGTTGCAGAAATTCCTTTTGTTTTTTTAAAATCAAGTAAAGCAATCATCCATGGCCTGCCATGATGCCTCTTAAACAGAGCACCAGTATACAGTCAGGGTAAAAGCTCTTCTGCTGTCAGCAGTGTTAAGTGCTGCTCCCTTCATTCCATCTGATCTTCTGGTTTTACTCATGAAATGCAGCTCAAATGAAACCAAACCCGACAGCCAAACGGACTGCGCTTTTAGTGGTCTGAGAACTGGGCACTGAGCGCAGAGCAGTAACGCCTCAGTGAAATGGCCAAAATTTTTACTCTTTAGTTTCTTATGGGAAAGCTAAAACGATTAGCCAATCTTGAATAATGAACCTTAACACTCAAGAGAGAGATCTATGGAGGATAAATGCAGAAAAATGCTTAACTTGCTATGAGTTTTGATGATCAAAAGGACTATAAAGGAGGAATGCTTTCTATTCTTAAAACTTTCATTCTCAAAACTATAAAGCGACACATTTAATTTTCTGTGCAAGCCTGTGGCGACCCAGTCTATACAGATTGTAGAGTCTCTTTTTTGTAGCTTTTGTTTGTATGCAGGAGTGTAGATATGAACTTTTTTTTAATTATTTTTTAATTTCCCTCGTTTTGAAATAACTCAATTCCTTCAGCTTTTTAGGCCACTTGGATAGAGCCAGAAATAAACACCACCCAAACATTTTAGCTGTTGCTAAATGTGAGCCATTTTGTCAGGTTTGCAGGTAACCATATTGTGCTGTTTGGTTTTGTTAGTTTATTGTTGGTACTTTAATTTTTACACCTAATTACCCACAATAGTGCAGCTTGCTTTGGCTGCACAAACTACATTGACCTTTGGAAAAACTCCAATGTCATGAAAATTGACTGGGATGTCACCTTAGGATATTATCAGTAACATCTCTAAGGTTCACTGTCACAGATGCCCCTCACCCACCATAATTATTTCCCATGTATGTTGTAGCTTACAGGTTGCTGTTTGTATAGTATCTCCTTTAATTGCATCTGGCAAATATTTCTGAGTCTATAAACAAGGTCTGCCCATTGATTTTATGTCAAGGAATTGGAGTTAAATTAAATCTGAATTTATGTGCTTACAAATGGATATGAGCCACACCAGTGCGATCTTCACCATCGCTTTGGCTCTGGATTTGTACTGACTGTGTTGGATTGGCTTCTTGATGGCAATGTAGCGATCCAGTGAAATGGCGCATAGGTGCATGATGGATGCAGTAGAAAACAGCACATCAAGGAAGAGCCATATGGGGCAGAGGAACTCCGGAAGAGGCCAGCCAGAGTCTAAAGAGAAGATGAGAAGGAAATGAATCCTGTAAGATTTTAAACTGTTGTCTTGCAGTTGTTTTTTATGCCTCTGCACCTGTGACAGCCAGGGCCAGTGGCATTATGTTTTTGGGTTGTCCGTACGTCTGTCCCCCACATTGTCATAAACGCGATATCTCAGTAATGCCTTGAGGGAATTTCTTCAGATTTGGCACAAACATTCACTTGGACTCAAAGATGAACTGATTAGATTTTGGTGGGCAAAGGTCAAAGTTCAAAGTCATGGTGGCCTCACAAAACACATTCTTGGCCCCAACTCACAAACTCATATACTACTTTGACACAATTTAACACAAATGTCAAATAGGATGAAATGATGACAGTTTATATCCAAATGGTCACCAGTCAACTGCACTGTAACATCACAATGTTCTGTATAAATGCTTTTGGCTGTTATTCAACACTCACACAGATGTGGAGATTGTGACCATATTTCCTGCAACTGGGAGGCACACAACCTAGTATCTAGTTTTTTTTATATATCATTTGTATCATCGGTTATCTGTGTTAGTGTCTCTACATTTAGTAACTCATGATGTGCAACTACAATGTGTAACCCATCTCCATTCCAAAAAGAACTTGAGTTTTGCACACTGCTGGTTATGGGAGATGTACCACAATGGCAAGAGATTAGAAGTAACACTCATGCAAAAGATTGGTGTTTGTTTATCTCTGTGAGGAAGAACTTTACTGGAAAAAGGAGGGTTCACTGACTGTTTATGGAGCTACAAGCTCTTTATGTAGATGTGGAGACTATGCTCAACAGTAGTGTTTATTTTCTGTTCCAGGCATAAAATTGGCAAGTAATTGTTCTGGCTTTTGTCCTGTCACCCATTAACATTGCAAAAGACTGCTATTGGAAATATTCCTTTACATAATTTTCTTTTGTTATGCCACCCTCCCCTTCCTTTCCTTCCACCACTTTCTTGTCACTTTTGGGGGAATTCTTGAGTCATAGTTTTGATTAGGTTTCATCTGGTTAGCTTATTCATTGATAAATACTTTGCACCACTTTCAAAGTAGACACACACAGCACACACACACACACACACACACACACACACACACACACACACACACACACACACACACACACACACACACAAGAGTTTAGTCCCATACCTAATTTAATTAACACTGTAGCTTGCAAGGTCCAAATAGCTATAGAAATGGACATCTTTTTATTCTGTTTAATTAAATTGAGACGTCCTCTGCAAAAATCTATTTCACATGTAAATTTCACAACCTCACTTGCTCCAATGCGTGGGAGGTATTAGTTTCATGTTCTTGTGTCACAATAAGATAAGTCACACTCAAAATAATGACATTATTGTGCAGACCTTTTGAAAGGAATAGGCTCAGGTTTATAAGCAAACAATTTATTTTTTTTGTAGTATTTTTGTTCTGATATATTGGTTTGATGTATTTTCTTTTTTGTGGCTTGTTTATCAACTCATAGTCACTTATAGTTATACTTATAGTCATATAATTAGTGTAGTGCATTACACAGACAAAAAAATCCTCTGATCCACAGCTCTTTAAATAAAAGAGAAGCAATTACAGAGGTAGAGAACCAAATCATTTGTCAATTCAAAAAAATTCTTGTTGATAGTTTTTTGTCACCCAGTACAATATTTTACACTGCTCACATTTTAAATATCAGGTTTGCCTGTATGCATCGAAGTCATCTGTCTAGCAGATGTGGAAAATGCCTGGCAGTTCTTACAGGTGTGTAACTGTAATCCAGTCACTTTCTTGTCTTGGCTTTTCAGGTTAAATTGAAGCATTTTCTTTAACCCTGTTTACACTACCATTAAATATTGAATGCTTTGTGGCCTTGCAATAACCTTGATCTTTTATCTAAAGCCATTCTCTGCCAGTTTTGGGAATTGGGGCCGTAAATCAGTGATGTTCTGCTGGTTAACCATAGACAGTATACCCTGTCCTGCACTGAATTACTCTGTGCTTCTCAAGAGAAACTGATCCTGTCTGGCAGTTTGAATGTCCATACTGTTGATAGCCCTGCTATGCTTCACACCAGCCTTTCACACAAACACTGTTTGTGCATGTTTATGTCCCCATGACCTCTCCTTTCTCACCTCAGTACTGTGAGCTTCATCTCCCTAAAAAGGAGAGTAATGACAGCTGCTTGAGTCTGACAAAATATTTGCCTACTGAAGAATATATTTCCAAGATTTTTTTCCCCCAAATACATTAGCCGACATAATTATTGCATTGATACAGTGAATCATTATGTTTAAATGTCATTAGGTATGATAATATATATTATCATACATCATATTATTATACAATATTGTTTTTAATTATTACATGTAAGAGAATATAATCACTTTCAAACTTTTTAAGTTTTTAACAAATTCTGCACTGGCCCTCTACCAACCCAAAAAATTTAAACTGCTCTATTTTTTAATAAAGCTGTACTCTTATGCTTTTAATGAAACTGTGCTCATGCGCTTCTCTCAGTCACAGAGATAGGCATGAATGCTTTTACATCTCACTGCGTTGGTTCCCAACCTACAGATCAGGACTTCATATTACCTTTTTTTTTCCATATTTGTCTTTTGAGCTTTATGTTTCTTCAAATGATATACAGGGCACGTTTTAATCCCTCAGCCTTCATAGCCCCTTCAATTTAAGCATCTTTAAAAGGGAAAAAATTTAAGGAGTCATGAAACTGAAGAGCGGAGTTTATTCCTTTTTCTATTATTTAGGTTAAATATATTCACTATGTTATGTCGAAACCCTGTCAGTTGTGGTCCTTTTTTAGTATAGATATGATAGTAAATTAATTGTATGGCTCTTGCTTATGTAACTTCTGCATTAAGATAAGATGCACAGTTTGACTTGTGCAGGCCTATCAGTGTAACACATCAGTTCTCATGGATAACATGCATAGACAACAATCAGTCCAGTTTCGCACCATATTCTCAGTGTGTGTGAGACATAATTATGATCTGGCTCATCATCCTCCATTTGAATTACTGGGGAATAAATGCTTGTATTTTGTAGTAGTATAAAAACATAGACAATAGGAATTTGAATAAATTTCTTTGCAGCTGTTTTTAAACAGCACTTTCACTGGAATTAAAATAAAATGGTTATCATTTTCATGTTTTGTCTTTGTGTAATGATCCCCAGACCAGTAGTTTAATCCAAGCTGTGCAACTGCTGCCCTAGCACTGCCAGAGGAAGTAGCATGTTTATTGCCCACTATCTCTTGTTATATTTCATCTAGAGTAATTTGTTTAGAGCGTTGTGATTGTATCTAGTGTCCTCACCTACTATTTTTATCCACTTTTGCTACCCCCACGCATGTTGGCTTGTTTTTCTTGGTAGATTATTAAGGCTAATTAAAGTTACATACAATTTTCAGATGAAATCGAAAATTTTAAAATCTCTGCAGCTGCTTATGTCCCCATCCCACAGACACACTCACTTCTGTAGCCAATAGGGATTAAAAACAGTTCAAACATAGCAAGGTGTTAGGTTAAGGTTCATCATTTGTTTTAACATTTCATCAGAATGGTGTCAAGGAATTGATCTGAGCATTGAACATTTCTCTCCCAGCAGAGTCAAGTATTTATTGCTTTTGTATGGCTAAGACTTGTTTCAAAGATTAGAGATAAAATCAGGTTTTCAAACGCAAAGGCCCCAGTCTAAACTTACTGTAGAGAACAGTGACGAGGGCAATGGGCATCACTAGGAGTCCCACCAGCAGATCAGCCACAGCAAGTGACATCAGAAAATAGTTGGTGGCGTTCTGCAGCTTCCTTTCAAGGGACACAGCAAGAATGACCAGGATGTTACCTCCGATAGTGGGGATGATGACCATGACAATAAGCAGGGCAGCCCATTTCAGCTCAACCCCGGACTCTTCTCCTGACCGTGAGCTGTTAGTCCCGAGTAGAGCCGCGACTGCCTGAGACATGTTGCTGCAGAGGTTACAGCAGGCCTGAGCGTGGATCGGGGCTCTGATCTTCCTGGTGTTGGACACTCGGTCAGCATGGTCACTGGGTCCCACAGGCAAGGGCAGAGGGTAGGGTGGGACAGCTCAGGGCCAGTGAACAGGGTATGTCATCCCTTGTTTAGTGTACAAACCAAAAGCAATAGCTGACAATTAGTAGAGGATCCACCGAAAACGGGTCCAACACTACGGCTTCCAGTGCTGGCAGTAATCCCAACACGATTAGTAATTCCACAGTGAAATGATAGCAGGGGTCCTCACTTTCCCAGGCATTTGAAACTCTGACATCCGGTGCATCCCTTAAAAAGGACAAACAGGTCAGTTAAAGGATACCTTGTTACCCATTTGCTTTAATTGTCTGAATGTGGACATAATAATGAGATGTTTATGTTTACAAATGAAGAGGGTCTTTCCTGTGTGGTGATTATTACTGTTTCCGCATTATGGAAAAGAAATGTACCAAGCTGGAAAATATAGGATATAGTAGTTTACATGTTTTTTCCATTTCTGCTGTGTTACTCAGTAGTTTAAAGTAATTATAAAACAAATTTATAAAAGTTTTAAAAACAGAGGTTGGTTTTAAAATTACTTAAAAACCTCCGTCAGATTTTATATTAAAGGTACAAGACTTGTCTCGCTGTCGACAGTCTAAGCATGTGCATCTATTAAAAAATGTACACACCTTTATCTGGAATGGATTACACAATATTACACTTAAGCAATAACAAAATACAACACAGTGTCAATTGCCATTAATCGTGATTTTGCAAAAGTTGCTTACCTGCTCCTGAGGGTAAAGTTTGTTGGTCTCTGACGTTTCAATTCTTGAAGTGTTTTCCCAAGCCGCTACGTCTTTCATAAACATTAAAGCAGCATTTTGCGCTGGAACACAGTGCAGCCAGACACCTAATGCGTTTCGGTGTTTGTACACCACTTAGTTTACTATCTTTTTTAACATCCCCTATCTCATCTTTATATTTCCACTCTCCTTAAATAAGAATGTGACAAAGACTGCCCTCCCTCAGCAGCAAAACCTAAATCTGTCTCTGTCTGAAGTAGTCCATGATGTGGAATTTGTTTTCCTTCCACATGCTGGAGGAACCCCCAGTCTTGTTTCGCATCACCTACCGCGATCACAGGTTTAAAACTTTCAGATGTTGTGGCTCGTCTGCCTCTCTCCCACTCGCTGCCTCTTGTTCACAGCCTGTGATCAGCTCGCACTCTCTCCCGTCTTGTTCGCTCTCTCACTCTCCCCTCCCTCCTCTCTGTCGTGCCCGTGAGTCAGACTCTGTACAAAACAGATGAATGTCTTCATGCTGGCAACATGCCAGTGGTTCTGGGAGGTAATTTCCTTCAACACAGCCGTCCCACTGTTTATATTTGTCACTTTCTGTTCTCTCCTCTATTTGAAGCAAGCAGTGCTGGGGGAGGTAGTAGTGGCTTATGGGGAGAAACCTTTGGGGTTTTGGTGAGGTGCATGTACACCGTAGATTTTCCATTTTGTCCTCAATGAGCTCACATTTTCAGGCTGCAAAAGTCATTTAAATACAATCCTAATTTCATTTAGATGATTAAATTTGAAATTTAGACCATATTTGTTTTTTTCCTTTGATCTCCCTGCCTTAACAAGTCAAAATGTGTATTCTCTGTGTGCACTCATTGTTATACTTTTAAAAGCAGATGCAAGACATTAAAACATGTAGAAATAAACAAGCTCTTGAGTTTACAGTAACCAGATGATGCTGAGTGATTCTTACAAGAAAATGTGAGAAATACGGCCAGTAACCCCCCCACTTGGATCTGTATATCCTTACGTCTCCCAGTGAAGAACTGTCCAAAGAGCAAATGTTTTAGCTGAATCAATCTCCCTAATTCACTTACAATGCTATTATCCTCATATGGTACTGTCCTGCATAGGCTCCCTTTGATCATCTTTTTCAAATTAGTTAAGTTTTGGATCTAGATGGAGTGGTGTTAAAATTCTAATGTCTCAGAAGAAAGCAAGTGCATGTCTAATTTGAGGCAGCTAGTGTTAACAACCAGACTCTAAGCTGACCCACAATTATTACAGGAAAGATCTGATGTCACCTATCTAACATCTACTGATTTTTCTCATTTTTCTGTTAATTTCTTGATTTTTGTGATGCCAGCGGCAGCTTTTGGTGTACTGCTAAAGGTATGCTGACCTCTGCCATCACATGAAATACTTGCCACGCAGGCACATTTTAAGAATGACATCCAATCTTGCTGGCTCAGCTTGCAACCTTATTTGCTGTAACAATCAGCAGTTCTTGTTCTTGTGAAATTATTATTATTTGAACACCATATATCATAGCAGATAATTGTTTTAATCATACAATGATTTCTATTTTCTCAATGGCTTATCACTTCAACAATATAATCAGTTCCCTTTCCCTTTTATGATCAGCACATTTGTTGTTACTCACAGCTTTTTTCTTCCCCTTTTCCCATTTGCCATACATTGCTTGATTTTTTAATTTTTTTTTATAAGTGTCAACTGCATGTATAAAAGCCACACAGCTTCTTAATTTGTCTAATATTAACATTGTCCAGGTGCTTTCATGATTTATTTGGCTGACTGGTTGTAACAGACGGGAAGCAAGCTAATCAGATCTGCTCTCTTGCAGTTAGAGTGCATTAATAACTGCCAAGATCACATTTCACGTGGAAAAACCTATCAGTAATTTGTTTGGCTAAGCTGTATTCCTGCGTCTTTCGCTGACCTTTCAATATGTATGTTGCTTCTTAGGGGGAGTTAAACCTTTATCAACCTGTCACTCACACCATAATAAATGTGAGGTATGGACATATGATCATAGAGAAAAATTAATCAGTGGAGTAAAAGCCTATTGCATTTTTGTGACCTTTTTAAGTAAATATTTATTTTTCTAATCCTACTGCATATGACCAATAAAGTCTTTGCGCTTTTATACAATGGTCTTTGAGTACAGCCGCATCACTGCGCACTGCTGAAAGTTTAATTGTCTGCTGTTACATTTAACAAGTGTCTTTGATAGATATTTCAGTTTTTATTATTCTTTCTCTTTTTATCTCTCCTTTTTTCAATAGTATTGCAATTCATTCTGAGGTTTGTAAGGCCATAACACATTAAGAGGATATTTAAGTGTGGCTTGAAATACAGACATCATTGCTTCACTGCTTTTTCGGATGAAACAAATGCTGGATATTGATTTCTTCTTCCATTTTTGCTGGTGGTTGAAGGTAATTGGCCTATCTTTAACTTTGAAAAGGTTGAAAAGGCTTTAGCTTAAACTATTTGCAAAAGCCACAGCGAAGTTTTTTCAATTGTGTCTCAAGCTACTGTAGTCCCCTATCGCATTCAAAATTTATCATAAGTTCTCAGTGTATCAAAAGTGCTTAAACTTTTGATGGCCCGTGCCATACATTTTTATTTCTATAATGGATACACAGCATGCTGTACTTTTGCTGCAAATGCTGGGATCAGAGAATTCACAGTCTCAACTCACAACCTACATATTGGTCAGGTCAAGCCAGATTTATTTATGTTGCTCAAAATCACAAATTTGTCTCTGAGGGCCTTACAATCTTGTCAGCATCCAGGTATGGATTGAAGGGAATCATCTGACTACCATAATAGAATAAACTCAATCCGTGCAGGTGAAATTGAAAGGCAGGCTAGATGTTGCCATGATTGCCATTTGTGATCTAGTTAAATCCTCATGTAGTGGTTGAGCCAAGCCTTGAATTCCAAACAAACCATGCTTTGAGAACATGACACATACAAGTCAAATACAAACCACAGGAAAGTTTTTACTTATTAGGACATCATTTTCAGGACTTTATTGAGGGTATTTATTGGTTCAGAACTGGTGGAGGGTTAACTTAAATCCTAGTAGTATCTGTTTATTGGACATTGTCTACATTTAGGCAACTGTCTCTAAAGTTGAATGTAGACAGAAAGATGTGAACATCTTGGCCACCTTCTATTCTTTCATGAACAATTGATGGGTCACTATAAGGTAGCTGTAGCTCTTAAAATATTGCATTTATTTTTGTTCTGTAGTATGTTTATCTTTTTATTTGGTTTTTAGTAATCTGGCCCAGTTACGTGAAATCAAATAGCAAGTAGAAGCTAATGTCTTTACTAAAGCTGTCACTCTAAAAGTCCTTTCATTTTGCTCATAAACCAGTTATTCTAAACGCAGCTAGGTGATTTATCCATCTCTTGTTTTTCCTTCATTAGATGAATGAGCTTTTAGTTCTTTGTAAGAACCAAAGGCAGCACTTTTAGTTGGAGCAAAGTGTTTGAACACTTGGTACATTGTGACATTTTAGTAACATGGCAAAGGAAACCAGATAGGGGGGGTTATCAATTCAAATAGATCAAGTTATACAAAGTTTCCTCAGCCAAAGGTCAGAAATGTTAGTTGTAGCATTTCAAGGTAAATAACGGCTGTAATAAGTAGTGACTACACAACAGAGGGCTTTTGAAAAATTATAATGAAGTGTTTAATTTTACAAAATGAAATAAAGTGTAGCTCGATTTTCCATTTTTCTTTATGGCAAACTCCAACACTTAACCAACAGTCTCAACCATTTTTACAATAAACAATCTCAACACATCTTAACAACTGAACAGCTTTAACACATCGTTTTCTCTTTCTTTCCCTGTTCTACCTCACTTTCCCCACTTATTTCTCCAAAGTTATCTCTCAACCTGTGTGTGTGTGTATCTCACTGACTGAATGACTTGAGTCACAATGATTGGTGTAGAAGCATCATATGACCCGTGCTGAAAAGGCTAGAAGAGCTGCACTGGTTAAATGGAAGCGCACCAACAAAATGTAATAATTCTCAGTAATCTATACATTAGACATCTCAATCCAGATAGGATGGTATCTGGATCCAGATCCACACTGCGATTCAACTGTTGGTGATCTTTGAGATGGACTATGATGCAGGCTTTCTGACTGAAACTACAAATTTTAGATATGATTACAAGTTTGTTGATTCACTTCCTCTGGTCGTTTGAGGCAGATAAAACCTTTCTGTGAAATTCAAAGGCACTGAGTAATCTCACCAATCAACTCGTCTGTCAGGCCCAGTCAGTGTTATCAGCACAAGCTTTCACAAGTGAATTGTCAGATAAGGTTGGTGGTAAAAAACAGTTTACGTCATCCACATACTTGTTTTTTTCCTTTGCTTTCAAATGAAATATCTCTATAGGACTAACAGAAAAACCCACAACATGGCTAAAAGTTTCTAGCAATTATAAAATGCAACACATTGTAGTAGGGTTATCCTAAAATGATTGATGTATTCATCCTTTTCTGAAATCAGGACACCACCTAATGGGTGCTTGGCCTTTTCCCCTAGTGACTCAAAGCTGATACAACAGGACTTAACTTCAGTGTTGCTGATTGAAGAGTCTCTCATTGTGACTGGAGAGCAAAAACAGGGCAGTTTAAATTTGAGTGTTTGTGTTTGCACTGTGCTCAAGAATATCATTTAGCACCATCAAGTTCACTTAAGTATCCACATATATATATATGGTATAAAATATGCATGCAATTATATCTCGAGCCAAAGATTTGGCTGAAATAGTTTGGCTGTGTGATTTCGGTTCTCTTTATTCGACAACAGCAGCACCACTGGGAGAAAAGGCATAAGGACTTTTTCAGAGACAAAAATCAAAGCTGCATATTTCATATCCAACTCTTTCGCTGTCCTTTTCCTCTTTCTCTCTTTTCTCTACACTTTGTCTAGTTCTTTCCCAAAAACATTACATTTTCTATCTCTGTCTCATACAGTTCCATTTGGACATATATTACCTGTAGACCTTCTGAATACAGCAAAAATAACAGTGAGCCTATAGATCTGAGGGTGAATGCAGCTGTGGAATTAAAATGTATGTGTTTATTGTATTTCGTTATTGGCACTTCTATATGTTATATGTTTTAATATGTTGTACAAATTAGCACCATATTGATACCAATCCCAGGCATTTCAAAGCCTGCCCAAGCATGCAACCCACATCCTCATCATTGTGGGCACAATCAGCTTAATTTATAAAAGCATCCTCCACGTGTTGTACCACATTCAAACATATGTTGTGATTAATTAAAAACTACATTTATCCTCCAAACATTTATTCTCCAAATTGCAGTAATATTTTGTTAGAAAAGTTTTTTTTAACTGTTTTATCTTAAT